GCAGCCCCTGCCCTCCCCACCCTCCAACAGCCCCGCGGTGCCCCTCACTCCCCACCCGCAGCCCCTGCCCTCCCCACCCTCCAACAGCCCCGCGGTGCCCCTCACTCCCCACCAGCAGCCCCTGCAATTCCAGCCCTGGGACAGCTCTCTCAGCACTATAGATCCTTGAGCATCAAGCAGAGATCAGTGTCATTAGGTTAGTAAACACAATAGGACCTACATTAAGCGCAGCAGGTTCATAACATAAGGCTTGTTGTAATAAGATTGTAATGGACCAGGCTGGGGGGACCCTAACGCCCCCTGCTGGAGAGGAGAGGCTCTGAAAACTCCTCTGCGTGTCATGCTTCCTATACTGCTACCCAGTAGCGGAGAGTCTCCGTGCACTCACCCTCTTTCCCCGAGACGGAGCTCAGCTCCCGGATGATTCTAATCTCGCCCCTGGTTGTCCCGGTGCATCTCCACCCACACATCAGGCGACAACTTCCGGATGCCACGGCCAATCCTTTCCAAATTTCCTGGGGACGCTCCGGGCACCGGCGGGCAGGAGTCTGTGGATTTGGGGAGGGGGAGGATATTAGAAAATGGGGGGATACACGGGGAGCCCCCACCTGGCATCCGGTCAGCACAGCCCCAATTTTAGCACCTTGGCCATTGAGTGGAGATGAAAGAGCCCCCGGGGCATGAGGCAGAAAGTGACCCCGTCTCTAGGCCAGCTCCCCAAGGAAGCATAACCTGGGGACCCCTGGAACGACTGACCCCTCAGAGAAGGGTGGTGGAAATGGGGGGGGAGAATGGGGGACCCTGCTCTGGGGAGATGGGGGGGCACTCAGCTTAGAGGATTAGAGGGAGTCTGTGAATTAGAGGGGGTGGGGGGATGGAGGGGGGCACAGAGCCCCCGGGGGTGCAGTGAACTTGCCACGAACCACGAGACTGGCTAGAAAAGCCCCTTAGTCCATCTAGACCGACTTCCCGAATAGCCCAGGCTAGTGAATTTCACCGAGGGTCCTCCGCACCAAGCCCACGGACTTGGCTAAAGCCCCTTCCGGAAAGGATCCGGCCCGGATCTGACCCCACGGGAGTTGGGGAATCCACCACGTCCCTGGGCGGTTTGTTCCAAAGGCTCATTACCCGCGCCGGGAAATGTTGGGGCTGCGTTTCAGCTGGGCTCCTGCCTTTCGCAGGGAGATTAATAACCTCGTTAGTGCCCGGGATTCTCTCCCTGGGAAGGGGTTTATACATCCGAACCAAGCCAGTCCTTGATCGGTTGGGGTGTGGGCAGCACCCGGCCCGACGGGGGGGCCCTGATCGCGGGCGGGGTGTGGGCAGCGCCCGGCCCGACGGGGGGGCCCTGATCGCGGGCGGGGTGTGGGCAGCGCCCGGAATGACCAGACCCCGATCTCACAATCAAAGTTTACTGCGGGAACCTTAAACTATCTGGCATGTCCTCATTTCTTTTTTAAAACGTAACTAAGCTCTTTGCCTGGCCTTTCCTAGGTTGTTTTATTTCCTTATTGACAGGGGAACAATTCTGCAGCTTACCGAGCTCTGCACGGGTCTGAGCTAGCAAGGGTGAGAGAGAAGGAAAGATTCTGCTCGGGGAACAGAGGGTGCACTGAAGGACGACACAATGACTGAAAGATCACTCGAAGGGAGGAGTTTCCACCCTCCTGGCTCCTTTTCTGGGGATCTCGGCTTCCCTGACTCCACCCTTTTCTGGCTCCCCAGGGCTCGGTCATTCTCTTCTCCATTTGCACCTTCTCCCCCCCACAAACCCGGGTCCAACTCCCGCCTCCACTCCCGGATCGACCTCGCCAAGCTAAAATCCGGCCCTCTCCTGGCTGTCTAGGCAGCTCCTCACCTCCCCCGCCACCCAACCCAGCTTGCCTGTCGCCATCGACGCGGGCCTCCCTCCCACGTGCGGACTCCGTGCAAATCTTGTGGTTGCCGCCCGACGTCCTCAAGTTCTAGCTTTTCCTCTCCATTCAGCCAGCCGACCGCTCTCCTCACCCCACCGCATTGTCCGTGCGATCTTGTCCAGAATGGGGGCCCCCCGCCGAGATCCTCCTCTGAGCCCGTTTCTCTGTCCACGTTGCCCCTAAGAAGAGAAGAACAGCCACGCTGGGTCAGTCCAATCGCTAGCCCGGGGTCCTGTCTGCCGACAGCAGCCAACACCAGGTGCTTCGGAGGGAACGAAGAGTGACCCATCCCATCGCCCTGTCCCAGCTCCTGGCAGGCAGAGGTTTAGGGACCCCCAGAGCATAGGGTAGCAGCCCTGGCCAATAGCCACTGATGGACCTATCCGCCATGAACGGATCTAGTGCCATTTCCAACCCTTGCAGCCCCCCACTGACGCCCCCTTCTCTGGCACATCAAACATAAGCTGTTTGGACAATGAGAAGGAGGTTTTTTTAACCACATGAGGAACACAAAGGATCCCAAGAATGGTATTAGTCCATTCCTTGATGCACATGGTAGACTTACCAATACTAGCACAGAACAGGCAGACACGGTCAATAAATATTTCTGTTCTGCGTAAAAAAACCCACTCGGACGAGTGATGACAACACTTTTTCCATTCCACTAGTGCCTCTGGAGGACGCTACTAAAGTCAGACATTTTTACATCATCAGGCCCAGAGACCTTCAATCCAAGAGTTTGAAGAGAGCTGGCCGAGGAGCTGGCAGTACTGTTACTTGGAGCACTGGGGGAAGGTCAATCTGTAATAAATCTGCAATAAACCAAGGTGCCAATTTTTGAAAAAGGGTGAACGAGATGATCTGGGTAATTATAGACCTGTCAGCCTGACATCCATCCTGGGCAAGATAATGGAGCGGCTGATACAGGACTCAATTAATGAAGAATTAAAAGAGAGTGACATAATTAATGCCAATCAACAGGGGTTTACGGAAAATAGATGCGGTCAAACTAACTTAGTATCTTTTTTTGACGAGATTACACGTTTGGTTGCTAAAGATGGCAGCGTTGATGTAACAGGCAGACTTCGCTGAGGCGTTTGACCTGGTCCCGCGTGACACTGATTAAAAATTCACACAATGTAACATTAACACAACCCACATTAAATGCCTTAAAAACTGGCTAACTGATAGATCTCGGAATGTAACTGTAAGCGGGGAATGATCCCCGAGTGGGTCTGTTTCCAGTGGGGTCCCCTGGAATCAGTTCTCCGACAGGCATTTTGATCAATGCCCTGGAAGACAATATAAAATCATCCCTGATAAAGTTTGCAGATGGCTTAAAAATGGTGGGTAAATAATGCAGGGGGGCAGGTCAGAGGTACCGAGCCACCTGGACTGCCTGGGAACCCGGGCATAAGCAAATCATGTGGGGCTTAGTATGGCTAAATGTGCACGTATCCCGGTAGGAACAAGAACGCTGGCCGTGCTGAGCTTGGGGGCTCTGCCCTGCGAAGCAGCGACTTCGTGGCGAGGAATCTAGGACTGTATAAGGTCTCCGGCAGCCGATCTAGCCCCGTCGCTATCCGGATCTCCACTCCTGCCCCCGCCTCCAGCCTCCATCGTCCGCTGGTGTCTCTCCCCACTGAGCATCTTCGGGCTCGGGCGCACAGCCCCCCGTTCTCCGCCTCCTTTGCCGTGATGCCTCGGGAAAAAACCTAGGCGAGGGGAAGGCTACCGTGGCGTGGAGCTGGCTGCAATAGGGACTCGTTGCTCCCTTGCGGTACCCAGTCTGGACCCGCCCCGGGTCTCGTCTCAGACGGGAAGCTCTGCGGGCGCAGGGATTGTCTTTCTGTTACATGTTTGTACAGCGCCCGGCGCGGTGGGTCCTGGGCCATGGCTGGGGTGCCTAGGAGGTACCGTAATACACCTAATAGACACTGTACAGCGCCCGGCGCAGTGGGGTCCTGGGCCATGGCTCAGGTGCCTAGGAGGTACCGTAATACACCTAATAGACACTGTACAGCGCCTGGCGCAATGGGCCGTCACCCAGAGGGTGCTAATGAACGATGGAGAGAGATCACGCTGCAGATGGGCGGGAGAAGGTGCTAATGAAAGACAGAACGAGGGTGACAGGCGGAGAGCGGGACAGCGAAAGACAGGGCCTGACAGTGACTGAAGGAAGGGAGACACGTGCGAGAGGAAGGAAGACGTGAAAGAGACATGAAGAATGAAAGCGCGCGAGAGCAGGACAGGCCAAGGAGCAGGAACGGAGGGAGACGAGGCCAGAGCAGGGCAGGAAAGTGAGGGCTCCTGTGCCCCCCACCCCCCAGCAACGCCAGCACAGCCCAGAGGCGGGCACATGGCGACAGAGATAGCGCTATCTCCCGGCTCAGGCTGGGCGGCTGTCACCCGCCTGTCACTGCCGGGAGAACGGGCAAGTGAGGCAGAGCCAAAGACTGGACCCAGGAGTCCTGGCTCCCAGCCCCCCTGCTCTAACCACCAGACCCCACTCCCCTCCCAGAGCTGGGAGAGAACCCAGGAGTCCTGGCTCCCAGCCCCCCAACTCTAACCCACTAGCCCCCAGTCCTCTGCCAGAGCCGGGTATAGAAACCAGGAGTCCGGGCTCCCAGCCCCCACTGCTCTAACCACTACACCCCACTCCCCTCCCAGAGCCGGGGAGAGAACCCAGGCGTCCGGGCTCCCAGACCACCCAGCTCTAACCCACCGGCCCCCGCTTCCCTCACAGAGGTGGGTGAGAACCCAGGAGTTCTGGCTCCCACATACAGAACCAGACCAGGGGGTGGGGCAATTCCAGGAAAGGGGCCGGGAGTCAATTCACAGTAAACGAAAGCCGTTTAATTACAAAACTCAGTGACACCAGAGTCCAGAGAGCACCAGGAACCAGAGGGGGAGATGTTGGGGGGACGGACAGACTGGGGGTCCCTATTACAGGGACTATATAGGGGACTGGGGCCAATCTTCACCCTCCACAGGGCTGGATCAGAGCCAGCGCCCCCAAGAGGGGACAGGCCCCTGCCCCGTTCCCCGCCCCCTGAGCCAGCCAGTTCCCGCCCTGGGGCCGGGTGGGAGCCGGCGCCCCCTAGAGAAGACAGGCCCCTGCCCCATTCCCTGCCCCCGAGGCAGCCAGTCCCTGCCCTGGGGCCGGGTGGGAGCCGGCGCCCCCCAGAAGGGACAGGCCCCATGTCCCATCTTCACCCTCACACCACATAAGGGGCCACCCATTCGGGGTCCACCACAGACTCTTCCACGGGCCGCTCGATGTGGAAGTTGCGCTGGTGCGGGGGTCCCTGCCGGGCCGTCCTGCCCCCCCGCTGGGGAATGGGTAGCTCCGAGTGGTGGGCAGGCAGCGGGGGGGTGAAGAAATAGGGATGCAGCAATGCCTGGGGAAGGGGAAAGAAAGGGTTAACCTGGTGACACAGCTGACCAACGGGAGAGCCTGGGGCACCCCCTGGTGGCATCTTGAGGTATTGCACTCCCCGCCCCACAGCAGCCTCGGCACCCAGCCCCGACTGCCAGGGGAGATTAGAGATGGAGGGAAGTGGGGTGCAGTGGGTTGGAGCAAGGGGGGGGGCTGGGAGCCAGGACTCCTGGGTTCTCTCCGGGCACTGGGAGAGCAGTGGGGTTCCCTTACCTGGGCTGCCCTCACGCGCTCCCGGGAAGGGTAGACCAGGAAGCGCTCGAGCAGCTGCAGGGCCTGTGGGGGGGCGTCGGGCAGCACCTCCTCCAGCGGGATGGGCGGGTTGTCTTTGAACGAGATCTTGTTGTAGTCAGGCAGCTCCGTGATCTCCTGCCATGGGAGTCCTGGAGTCTCAGCCCTGCCTGCTGCTCTAACCACCAGCCCCCACTCCCCCCCCAGAGCCAGGGAGAGAACCCAGGAGTCCTGTCTCCCCGCCCCCCCCCCCCCCCCCCCCCCCCCCC